CTGCTACACAGTCGTTTTTAGAGTCATCACGCAATGCTCCTCCCCACTTTTTGGGGAGGAGCGTTGCGTGACGACACTAAAAACGGCTGTGTAGCAGACTATCTGAATGGAAGTGTCTCTCGAATAGAGGTGTCCGAAATGAGAAGTTCCACTGTAAAGGAAAAACCTTTAAGAAGCAGTCAAAATTGTTCGTGCTGCGTAAGATGGATACACCTTAGACCCACCCAAGGTCTTTTAGCATCAGTCAGAACCCAAATGAGAAGTACAAAGGGTAAATCAATCATAATCAGCATATCATTTTTGTTAAGTATATTATGATTATGAAGCTTGATATATCTATTTGAAGTCTAAGTTTAATTAACATTGTTATTCATTACTAAGTCTAGGATTACCCTTCTCATAAGCTCATCTCAGTGATACAGAGATCGGTGTTGAAAAGGGAATAAACGCAAGCAATAAACATGTTGCATTCCATGTGAACAATTGTCTGTGCGCATGCGTCCGTGGTCAGGCGCCCGGGATTAAGTGGATGATGGATAACAATCCCCTTCTTTAACCTATAATTTTCCAATCCCACTTTCCAGTGTCCAAACTTCCATTTCCTTCATCAGAAGTCAGAAAATCTCACTGATTAGAACCTCTGAAAACCAGCTTGAGGATTGAACAATGACTTACGTTTGCAGTCTTCCAGGAGCGGCAGCCGGTCAATGCCCCGCCTCAAGGCTAGTCATTTCCATCTGTGTCAAGATGGTATATGCACATAAAGAAAGTGCTGAAGTGGTGGCACTTTTATGTTGCTGTTTAAGATATTAAAAAAATACGAGAATGTCGGCCTTATCCTAGTGTTCCTGTCCTTGTTTGCGCCCCGGGGTTTGCACGCGAAAATAAAAAGACCTTTGCGTTTGCGTTTGCCATGTCTATTCGACCATTCGAACTACCCACCCAACCACCCCCCACAAAGATTTCTTTAGTCTCTCTCGGTCAAGAGACTTGCGCTGGCGATTAAATTCTAGGTCACTTCGACATATAGTTTGACCTTAAGTGGTTTCGCTTTCGCAATAGCCTGATGCTGGAGCATCTTTGCACCATGGTGGAAGCCACACAACTTGCTTGAGTTACCTTTTTGTCTCTGTCGTTCTTTTCTTCCTTATCTTAATCGCATACAGCTTCTCAGAAGAGGAAAGTTTTTCGTTGCCTCCACTTGTTTTGCTCAAAGCACAATAATCACGAAATCATTTTCCAAAGTACGAGTCTCTGATAGCGATGACACCAGATTTCTGGCAACTGTTGTGAAGATTTCTTCCACTTCAGGCGTTGTCAAGCCGTCAAGAACTCTGTCTGCCTCTTGCTCTGCGTTATTCTTACTCGTAAACAAGTACTGCTAAATTTTTTTCGAGGTCTTCACTTGTTTGATCTGTAATAATCTCGCAAACATGTATAAAAACAAAGAAAACAAGTTCCCGTGACGTTATCCATGAGGTTGCCATGTGGGCAACGACCAATCAATTTTAAGTCGTCAAGAACTCTTTTTGTCTCGGTTTTTTCGTTTTTCCTCTCTGTAAACAGCTTCTAAACGTTTTTCGCAGCCTTCATTTGCCTAATCCGAATTAAGACCAAATAATGTCGCAAACCAGTAGCGGATCCAGGGGAGGGGCCCGGGGAGCCGCCTCCCCCTTATTTTTAGAACAAAATGAGGACCGAAGGGGCGAAAAAAAATTTTGAGACCGTCCCCCCCCACCCCCCCACTTATCTCAGACTATAGATGACCGCCCCCCCCCCTTATCTGAACGTCTGGATCCGCCACTGCAAACATTTTCAAAACCGCGCGCCATTTTCAACAAAAAAACTGAAGAAACGCGTAAGCCGTAACGTAACGTGTATCCATATGCCTGTACTCTCATAGATCAGGACAGATCACAGCGAGCGTAATATTCACCACATATTGTATAAACATAAGGAAAGTGCTAAATTAATGTATAACAGTGCAATATTTCTGTTACTGTACGTACGTAGTGGTTTAAGATATTTGAAAGATACGAAAATACCGGCCTTATCCTAGCAGTGTTCCTGTGCTTATTTGCGCGCGAGAATGGAGGTTGGCTCTCCATGTCCTCAACAAGCTTGATAATCTACCCACCCCACCACCCCTAAACGATTTCTTGAGTTTCTCTTGTGGCTGGAGGTTAAATTCGATTCCAGGTCACTTAAACAAAGAGATTGTGACCGGGGTTTCGCAAATATTCTCCAAATAGCAGATGTCGACCTTTGGGTTGTGTTCCTGCTGTTCTTGTCATGTTTTTAGCTATAATTTCACCTAGTTCTTACTCTTGAAACGAGTGAAATGTCGGCCATTTTTTGTTTTCACAACCAAAACAACTCAACCTTGTCCACAGGTCTTCTCGGTTAACAGTGCATTAACCTGCAAGAACGCAGCATTTTTGACGTCATTTCCCCGTTAAACACAAAATTCTTCCAAATTTGGTCATCAGTAAATGTTTATGGTGAATTATGCGTGTGCTTTTAGCCAATCAGAATCGGGGAAATATTTTGAATGAATAATAATCTATTTTATGTCTAATAGGAGAGAAACCTTGAAGTGTTAGTAGTCAACCTTGAGAGCTAAGCTTCACCAAATTATTTAGTGTCGATGTGATTGGAATTTATGCGTGAGCCTTAATGTATTTAAAAGGGAACACTGGTCTCTGAACAGACGCTTAAACCATATTTTAAATTAATTGCTTTTAGACACATTTTACACTTTCAACACACCAACTCCTAACGAAGATGGTGTATTTACCGCTTTTCAACTGTTTATTTGTTTATTTATTCAGACAGGAAGCTCAGAACCAGCCTTATACTTGTCCTGCAGATAGGAAACGCCTGGACCGAGACCGGGTAAATCACTTTCATTTACCTTGTAACCTCTTTGTTTATTGCGTTTTGATCTTGTCTATTATTTATTTATTTATTTATTTATTTAAGGCTTGAACGCAAAATGAAGCATACAGGGTAAAAAACAATGTGAAACGAGCTGCTATCAAGTGATAAAACACGATATCTTTTAGCTTTTAGAACAAGACAGTCGCATCCACCCATTGATATTTTTTATCCATGAAAATGTGAGATTTATCTCAATTACTAATAACTGCCTTCATCATCATCACCATCATCATCCTCATCATCATTGTTTTCATCATCACCATCAACATAAAGGTCTTACGTTCTAATCAAACTTTGGCTAAAGAAATCTAATAAAAAACCGTCCTTTGAGTCGAAGACAGTTCAAAGAGGCACCTATTTACAGAGGATTTTTAACCCCTCCGTGTTTACACGTTTCCCACAGTTCCCATGATCCTTTTCTTAAACACTTAAAGATTCATATTGGATTGATCATGAGTACTACGTTTAATATTCTTTCTAATTGAACTGTAGGATGTATTTCCTGACAACGCAACAGGGAGGAAAATTTTGTCAATGGTGATCAAATGCCCAAGTGACGGTTGTTCGTGGACTGGTGAGCTGAGAGACAAAAAGGTAAAACTGGCCAAAACAAAAATTGTATCCAAGGCGCGGAGGATAACATGATCATTTTCAAATTGAGTAGGCCCCAGTCTCTTTCAACCACGTTTGAAACTGAATAAATCAAGTATTTTACTTATGGCGTTACGTTGCTACGCGTCCTGATGACTAAAAGTGTGGAGGGGTAATAGCTCAGATTCGTAGAGTCAGTTTTGGCATGTCAAGTCTTCCTGTTTAATTGCGCCAGAATCGCTTTCAGGACAGATGATTCAGTTAAATTGCAACACGACAAAGTAGACTTTTTACCAGGGCTTTTCGTCACGCCTTCTACACAAATAGACCTTTTCAGCTTGTATGTTTTGTTTTCCCATTTCAGGCCACGTGATGATACCCCATAGAACTATTTTTTCGAATGTTATCATATCATGCACAAGAGAGAATGAGCTAGCTCATTCTGTCTTGGTATGCATAATTTCTGAAAAGACATAATACATTCATTTGAGTGTCAAAAGTGACACAGACTAGTCGCAATTATTCGTTAACGAAAATCCCCACGAATGTTAGCTAATTTCTAACTGGCGTCGAAACTAAGACATTTGGTAGTTCGGAACTCAAGAAGAAAAATGAAAGAGATCACTGCTTCTCAAGTGATCTTTCAATTCTCACAAGTTGTTATTATTAAAAACAGGCTCACCTGGAGGCTTGCCTCTTCAAAATTATTACTTGTATCAACGAAAATTGCCATGTGACCGTGAAAAGAAAAGACCTCCTACAGCACTTTGCAAACACGTGCGAATGGATAATCATACGATGTGAATACTGTGAAGACCTATACCCAAAGTGGCACTTGCAGGTTAGTGGTCTCCCACGCAGACGTTCTTAGGGGTTCGTCACGCGTGCACGCATGGTAAGCAGGAATTGTTAAAAATAATACGACTTTCTTTTTCAACCGCTCCGCCACAGTTTTTGTGGCTACTGCCTCCTTTTAGGGAACGTAATCATCTTTAGTGGTGTTTTTGTTTTGTTTGCTTATTTGTTTTGTCGTTGTTGTTTTTTAAATATGTGCCCGCCAGAGCAAAAATAGTATATTTATGGATAAACAATCTGAATTATTGTTTACTACAACTTACATTCCTTTTTAACTGCAATATATTCTACAAAACTAAAACAGTAGCCACATGCAGTTACAGACTGCTTTTTATTCCAGTTGACAACGGGATAACTCTTTCGTTTGATCTTGACTTAGATTTGTGAGCAGAAACTTTTCCCTTATTGTACTGAGTACTGTAAGATTTTTCTCTGCTTACTAGTGCCTGAAAAAATGACGTTTTTCAGTTTTAGTGGAAAAGAATAGGAACAACTGACAATAGTTCTATTCAGGACTACGTTCACCAGCGGACGATCATACTCAACCTTCTTATCAGAATGACTCCTAAGTTCAAATCTTCCACTGAAAGAGAATAAGTTATATATTTGTGTTTTTTCAGGATCACTTGGAAAAGTGCCGTAAGATTCCACTTCCTTGCCCTAATAGCTGTGGAGATTTAATTTCTAGAGAAATGGTAAATGAATTTCATTGTAGTTTAAATGACGTCATCAAGGATCGGAGTATCAATTCATCGCAGGGTTTCAACCTTGCGGGTAGGGCTGTCGGTTGTTTGTCTTGGCAAAGTTGTTATAAAAAGTTTGAAAAGATTTGCCAAACCTCAAAACCTCAAAGCGAGTAAATAAATATTACAAATTATGTGTGAGCTACGGCGGAAACAAATCGGTCAAATCGATATGGTCGTGGTCCTTGAGGGGTTGTGCCGAATAAATGTACATGACCGAAGTGACTGCAAAAAAATACTGGGATAAATGTAGAAAATGTAGGCTTGATAGGGACCAGGAACCTGAACTTTAGAACCCTTTTCTTCTGTCCTGAGGGGCAGTCAGTCGGGTCGAGAGAAAACGCGACGAGAAGAGCCCTTTCCGCCAGTGCCTGAAACCGTTTTTCTCTAAGAGGCCATGCTATGCACTGGGTCTTGAGTGAGTCAGTTCGCTGATTTAATTTTATCATTTTCTTTTAGATTCCAAATCACATTGATAACGACTGTCCTTTGTCGTTAGTCTCCTGCCCATATGCTCAAATGGGATGCATTGAAAAGGTTTGTTGTTGATCATTAAATACAATAATGAAATTAATGAATACATCAGAGATTTAAAACATGATTAATTAGTTATACATTGAGTAACAACGATCTGCTAAAGATTTCACTTCCGACCGTTTATTTGTTATCAGGAGCCGTCTTTTAGTTCTTTCACCACTGATTGCTGATATATATGCACCCACCCTGAGCACTTAAGCCAATTACTAAGCAAAAACAAACATTTATATGCCACTGATACGCCATAAGACTCCAAAATTTATAATCTATTTTCTAAGATGATTTGTCTTGTGTTTTCAGTTTCGTCGCAAAAACGCGGATTCGCATCTTAAGTCAGCCATGCGAGAGCATCTTGAATTTGCCTGTGTTAAACTTAACAACACACAGCTTCAGTTGAATGAGCAACGAGTTCAGTTAGATGAAACACGAGTTCAGTTGGATGAGACACGAGTTGATTTGGATGAAACACGAGTTTTGTTGAATGACACACGAGTTCAGTTAGCAGAAACACAAGCCAAATTAAGCTTTTTAGCAGTTAAAGATGGTGGCAAAAAAAGTTATATTTGGAAGATTACATCGCTCAGTGAACGTTGGAGGCAAGTATTAAAGGGAAAGATAGAAAGTGATCCATTCTACACTGGACTTTATGGCTACAAATTAAAAGTGTTTGCCGCTCCTTGCTTTTTGGAATACCCTTCTAATGATAAGCAACTCTTGATCCGTTTCGGTATTGTTTTAATGGAAGGTGAATATGATGACATATTACCCTGGCCTTTCAGCAAGACAATAACGTTCACAATAATTGATCAAAATGAGGATCTCAAAAAAAGGCAAAACTATATTTATTATTTAAGCCCAAGAATACTGAAATGCCATGACATGATATTCTCAGAAAGACCAGGAAAAGAAATGAAGGAAGTTGAAAGTCAGCTACCGTTTGTGATAACTCAGGAGACACTTAAATCAAGGCGATACGTTGTAAATGACACTCTGTTTTTTCAGGTCGATGTGGATCTTGATGATGATGACTAGTTATCCCCTTGTCCCGTTTCTTTTCAACTGAATCATTCAAACGGTTGATTTACAGTTCACAGCGGAAATTGGAGACCTTTTCTAAAGAAACGGGGTTCATTCACATTTAACTCAGTAAACGACTCTCTTGAGTATTCTCTGTGTATACTGAGAACTGAGAACTCATCTAACTGAACTGATTTAGAGCTAGTGTAACCATATTTGTTTTGAGTAAGCTCCCACCCTCTCGACCAATCGAGAAAATACATAAAGTCAAACCTGACTATTAAGGTCACCCACTGAGTCAAAAGTGGTCACTTGCCCTTTATATCGATTACCTCTTTTCATATTATTGCACTGGTTACACTGAGTGTGTGCATTGTACGTGTGGCATTGAATGGTGTCTTTTTTTGTTTTATTTTTGAACAAAAAGAGTACCTTTAGGTTAATTAAACCTGTATTGAACTGTCAACCTATTTTCAGCGGTCAATTGACCATTCAACATACGCTCCCATAATTATCTCCCAATTTTTGATAAATAGGATGGTTAACAAAATGGAATTTCTTCTGCTTTGAGCCAGTTACAAAAATCTTTACCTACATGTCAGGTAATTTCTACATGAAGAATTGGCAAAAAAAATATTTAGTTCCTTGACACGAAACCTAGTAAGCGACTCCTCCCCACTGCCTCCCCACCCCCCTCCACCTTCCTCTCGAAAAAGCACCCTCCTGCGAATTAGACCCTTTCAAACAAACAAACAAACAAACACTTAAATTTCAAAAGGGTGCTTAATTACAGTCGCGCTGTACTCTCCCTTGTGGCCCTATGAAACTACTAAAATTCTAAAAATCCTAAAAAACTAGAATACTAAAGTAATAAATGTTTAAATATCAAGTTTAACAAAGCTAAAAAATGTTCAGCCAGTTCCAAAACTCTCTCTGGCTGTTTCCCTTAGTCTTAAATAAACACCTGGACATTGTCTGTTCCAGGCGTGTTCAGATCGTGTGGACGGCGCAAGGAGATATGCGCTGGAAAAAAAAACAGCGAGGGGGTAGGGTAGGGAATGACAGCGATGAAACCTCTCCCCTCCTCTCTCCCTCTTCCTATTTTCCTCCTTATTTTTCTCCTCGCTCTCTTACTTCGCACCATACTACACTATCCGAACACCTGGAATGGGCTAAAATATCTTTTTATGGTCGATCGGCGTCACGCGTCAACTGCATAAGTACGTCAAGACATAGCCTGCGTAGCAAGCGTTTCCCAGGGGCACCCGACATCAATTTTCGGGAAATATCTGTTCGGAAGACGATTTGAGATCTAGAATTTTCGGAACATTTGTTGTAAAATTTCTTGCTTGCCTGCCTCTCCTAGGATTTTCGAACATCTAAAAAATGGTATAATTGCCCATTTTTAACGGATTTTCACCCTAAAAGGGTCACCTAGAGTTTTCGGAAGCCTTTTTTCTGGCTGAAATTTTCGAAAAGGTAACTTTTTATCCCTATAATTTTGGGATCACTAGACTTTCAGCTAGGAAATTCGAACAGATGAAAAATTTTTAAGGGAATTAAAATATGCCTATATCTGCCGTTTAAATACTGCTACAATGCTATGTTTAAGTGGTTTTGAACTATATTCTCGTTGGTTGACCCTGGTTTCCGTGCGGTTACGGAGCAAAAAACGAGGAGGAACGAGAGTCAAAGACCGCATGAAAAATGGGGCGCATATAGTGGTGGGGACGCCGCACCAAGAGCTTGCACGCATTTTCCGATTTATTGGCTCGAAAAAATTTTCTTTTCGAATTCTCTATGTACTTATCAGTCACTACATGTATTTTGCCAGCAAAAAGTTTTTTTAGCCGGTTCCGCGCGACCAGTCAAGAACAAGAAAATAAAGAAGCCAGGCATTCAGGAATTGCCGCCTATAAAAAGAAAAGTACATTAGTTCCTTCACATACCGCAGACGGTTTCCATTTGTTGATTTGACAGAACGAACTTTGCCTTGTAACTTATGAGTTGGAGGTCACAGTATCGCAGTGTTCATGGCTGGTGACTACATCTGCGTTAATCATTTACCTATATATTATTCTTCCTAGTATTTCTAATTTTAGTTAATTATTAATCATTTATGTAATTTTAAATTTTAGGAGCCGTTAAAAATATTTTCTCTCGGTATAGTTCAAGCCCCGGGGAAGGCTAATTTTTTTCCCCGAAATATTGGCCTAGAATAAATCAGCCCTTTGCCGTAGTGCCAGCCTTGCATTCAGTTTTATTTTATTTTAGATATCAAGTGACGTCTGGCTACAGCATCTCTTTAATTAGAGAACCGGCAAGAGGAAACAGTCAGTTTATATTTACGTGTTGCGTGGACCTCTGCATTAAAACAGTTTTTTCTACTTTAAGATTGTAGCTACACATAAAGAAAGTGACAATGTAAAATTTCACAAAATGACAGCTTACACAATCATGAAATGTTCAGAATTTTACATGTGTTTTCACAATTCTTGTGAAAACTGACATTTATTTTCTAGGGCTCCCATGAGAAATAGTCTTTGACTGGGAGTATTACGGATAACTAATTACATCTATAGCCCTTGAAAAATGTAAAAAAGAATGCGATATTGTTTAAATTATTCTGGTACAAGGTGTTTGTCCACCGAAAATTAAAATTAGTACACTCAATTTTGTGATGGATTCCGTCTTGACCTTTTTATGTTGCTGTTACATTGGCGCTTTAAGGGAATCCAAAAAAGCCTTGGATTCTGGATTTCGCGCAGCGGATTCCGGATTCCTTTAGCTATGTTCCAGATTCCAAAACCCAAGATTCCTGATCCACAAGTGAAAATTCCAGCATTGTGGATTCCAGAAGCAAAAATTTCACGGTTTCTGAAATCCGTATTCCCTTACACGGGGCAAAAAAGTTGTTTAAGAGGGACTCCCTAAAACCGGTCGACTGCGTTTCGGGTCGGAAAATCAATTTCCTTTAAACTTTGCCCATGAATTTATCTTGCTTCAAAAGTAACTGAAACCGCATTAATGTTTGGAAATAATTGAAAATAATTTTTCTTTTCGGGCCCACTTCAGTGCCGGCGGCCAAATTTTTGCAGTGAACATGGTGATAAGGAGTAAAAATAGCGCATATTACTGATTTCACCACTTCAAAGTTTTCACTTTCACCGACTGTTTTCACTTCCTAGGATTAAGATGGTCCTTGAAAGATGTAAAGCAAATAATTTTGGTCTTTTAAAAGCAACACATATCTATTAAATATTTATTGATTTACACTTTGCACCATATCCTGGTATTCCTGTGTTTCTCCTCTTTTTTACGTTCGTTCGTCCACCCACCCCACTTCCCCAAAATGAGTTTGAATAATCCCTCCCGGGGGAAACTCCACGTATGAAAGGGGTGGGGATGCTCGTCGGAAATTTTGAATTAAACCCCTAAAGGAGACCGATCTGGGCGTGGCCCAAGCTTTTTTTGACCCCCAAAAGAGACCATGTTAAAACAAGAAAAATGAGAAAACTTGAATTATATGAATGGAGTAAATAAAACGAATTAAAAATATACATATCAAATATATATTTTTATATTTTTTCGTGTGCAACCGTAAACGAGACCTTCACGGCTAAATAATGCCCAGAACACCCTAAATCAGACCAAAATCCGAAATTTACACCCCTAAGCGAGACGACGAGCATCCCCGCCCCTTTCACATGCGGAGTCCCCCCCCCCGGATCCCTCTCGTATTACCCTGAGGGTTTCGCTTTTGCAATAGCCTACTGGAGCATTTTTGCAACATGGCGGAAGCGCCACGCAATCTGCAGTTGCCTTCAGGTTATGACGAGGAGTTTGCTGATGAAGTAGACGAAGATTTTCTTTGCTTAATTTGTCATTTGCCACTGAGGGAGCCTGTTCAAACAAGATGCAGTCACAGATTTTGTAATGCCTGCCTTGAGAAACATTTCAGAAGGTAGGCCTAAATACCTGAATTCTATTGAAAGTTGAGTGTTAAAGTAACTTTCATTCCAAACCTTTAGTTAACACCTTAAAGAAAAACTGAAGCACTGGGGCGCTTTCCATTGAACACCTCGATCTGAGTAAGAACATCTCAGTTGACGGAAAGTCAGCAACCCTTATTTACTAATGCAAACAACAGACACCTTAGCAGCTTAATCGATTTATTAGACGAAGGCCTTGTCTCTCAAATTTAGATTTCAAATAGATTAAAATTTAATCTGATACATCCCACCCAGCTGATAATCATGATATCAAGTTAGTTAAGGTTGTTTTCTATAAGCAAACTTTTGAAATTACAAAATGTGTCTCGTTTCCGTAAATTGGAGAAGCCATTGTTCGAAGTTATTGATTTGCTCTGGAATGCGGACATTCTGTCTTCCGTGATCAATGCCCAGGGATAAATAAGCGTTCCAATTTCGCAAGCTGGCCATGGAGTCCTAGCAAAGCATAAAAACTTGTCAATTTTTAAAATGTCTTGAGTTCTGTGGGTTTTAGGCTCGGCAAATAAAATCAGCCACAATTTAGTAGAAAGAAGTTTTATGATGGAATTAATTAGTAACTATCTATCAATCCATGTTCCTGTTAATTTTAATTAAATATATAACAATTATTCACCGAAGTGGAGGTGGCTAGTATTGAAGATTTACCGAGGCCGCGAAGCGGCGAGGTAAATATCCAATACTAGCCATCGACACTGAGGTGAATAATTCTTTTAGTATATACTAAAGCAGTGAGATCATTGAGCACAAAAATGATGATTTTTAACTCATTTACTGTTGCCAACGATTACAATTTTGGCGCGCGATGACCGAACGGCCGAGGTCGTCGCTTTTTCTTAGCGACAAATAAAACTTTTGAAGGCGTTTGTTTAGCTCTTGCGGGAAAGTTTCTTCAAAAGGAGTTGTGAATTCTTTTTGTATTTAAAATAATTCTGTAAAAAAGATTATTAAATTTAGTTTTAAGCTTAGTTATGAACAAGTCAACTAAATAAAGTAACGCAAGACTTATAAGCTTAATTTGCATTTGTAAACAAAAAACTTTTTCACCGGATTTATCGATAAATTCAAGTAAAAAAGACAAAGCTTTACCTGTTAAAACTTCCAAACCTAACTTCGTCACCTTCTTCATGTATTTCGGAAATAGCTTGCTTGATTAGTTGTGAAATTTCTTAGTTTGTTACGGCAGCAAACGGGAAGGCACTTTGCTCGCAACCTACGCGAGTTTGGCAACGCTCGCTCGCTCGGAGGAACTGGAGGTGAATCAGTGAATAGTGCAGGATATTCACTGACTGAGTAGCCAATCAGAGCGCGCGAAAAACACTATCCACTGTTTTAGTATATACTAAAGTCAATTAATCGTAATTGTTTCTTATACTGCAAAATAACAGACAGGACGAGCAGCGCCACCCTTACTCTTGTCCTGCAGGTAGGGAACGCCTGGACCGAGACCGGGTAAATCACTTCCGTTTGCTTTTTATCTTCTTACGTCTGTTTGTAATATGTTTTTGGTCTTATTTATTCTTTTAACGCTTACATGTAAACTAAATTGCATAGGCGGAGTCGATCGGAACGAGCTGTTACAAAGTTACGAAACAAAGGTTCTAAATTTTTCAAGCTTTTAAGGACAAGACTAGTTGCATACTCGTTCTCACACTTTACCCATATGGCAATGTTTTCTATTTAGAACAATAAGGAAATTAGGAGTATTTTAGAAATTTCGGGCACGGCCATCTTCGAGTCTCAATAATAATATTGATAATGATGATGATGATGATGATGATGATGACGATGATGATGATGATTATGATAATGATAGCAGCCTGTTAAATTGGCTCAGGTATTTCCTGCGAAGAATGATCTTGCGCTGTTTGTTTAATTCCGTTTTGCTTGTACTTTAGGATGTTTTTCCTGATAATGCAACAGGAAGGAAAATTTTGTCTTTGATGATCAAATGCCCAAGTGACGGTTGTTCGTGGACTGATGAACTGAGGAACAAAGAGGTAAAAACCCAAAATAACAATTATATTCAAGGTGCAATGGATTTCAGCATTTAATCAGGATTTAACCAAGGAAAAAACATCACTTTTTCTTTCTTTTTCATGTATAACATTGCTTGTAACAGGCTCACCTGGAAACCTGCCCTTTCAAATTTGTTACTTGTACCAACGAACATTGCCCTCAGATAATGAAAAGAGAAGAACTGGACAATCACACAAAAACGTGCGTGTGGAGTATTATGCCGTGTATGTACTGTAAAGAGAAACAACCAAGGAAGTATTTGCAGGTATATAAAAGTTATTCAAAATAACAGATCTTTAAACAATGTTGTGTTTCCGGGCGGAACTCATCAAGTTTTAAACGGGGAGGCTCCTTGCCGAAGTCCAACCCCTTACCCTTTTCATATACCATTTTTGGCAGAAAAGGAACCACTTTCGTATACCTTCCATTGGGAAATGGTACCCCTTTCACATACCTAGTATACACAACTCTGCATTCCTTTTAACTGCTGTAAATACACTGTTTTTTTTTTTTTAAATACCAATAAATCACAAATGCAGAACGTTTTCTCTACTATTTCACAGCCACAAAATGTATCTGTTAGCCCTTTTGGGCCTCTCTGCAGTCCGGTATGACAGATTTCCGTCCCCTTTCATATACTTCAACGAGTGAAATCTCTACCCTTTCATATTCTTAAGGCCTAAAAAATGGCACTCTTTTCGGGCGCGGCCTCCCTGTATAGGTCATTTCAGCAAGTACCCCCGGGTTTGTTCTTCAACCTTGCGCCGTAGAGATGGATTCTCCATTTCGTTCCTCCTTGATTTAGCCTTGTCACCTGTCGGTACATAGGGTGTTCTTCACGCCCGCGACCACCACAGTTAAATGTCTTTAGCAATTATTTTCTATATTTTCTGGTATTTCACTAAAGTAGAAAAATGAGCAAGTACTCGTAAAGAAGATGATGGTTACTCAGCTTCAAAAGCAGTACCGCCCACACAAAGTGGCTTTTGCAAAATATATATGATGATAGCAGGTAACCATTTCACCTCTTTCAGACAAAAAAGAAAAAAAGATACTGGTCTGGTCTCAAACTTTCAAGCATTTTTTACTGTTTACACTAAAATTTCCATCGGCTTACTGCGGTGAACTGAAGACAGTCTTCGGTCTTAAGTGTGTAAGGATTAATTATTTGTCTTTTTGCAGGATCACCTTAAAACGTGCATCAAGATGCCCATTCCTTGCCCTAATGGCTGTGGGAAAGAGAGATATCCTAGAGATATGGTAATTGTATTTAATCAATTGAGTGAATTTCTTGATGATAGGGTCAGTCATCGCAGAGGACTCGGAGCTGTTAGTTGTCGTACCAGTGTTTTAAAGTTCTCTCTGTATTTTGTACTGTTGAATGTCTAAATCTTTTCTGCGTGTGCATACTTAAAATGTACAGCTATTTCAGGTAACGTTGTCGTATATCAAGGTCACACAACACCACAAGATCATGTGGGTAGCTGTAAAACTAATTACAACTAATTTTGTCATAACTTCACGGCTGCTACTGCCAGAATAGTACATAACCTTACAAACGTCTACCTTTGTCGTTTTATAGTAGAAGAATCGTGTTTCATGGCTGAGCTTGGGAATTTTTTTAATGAAACATGATTTGCCATATTGCTTCGAGGCCTCGTCGCTGAGGCTTTCTGACGACGTTATTTGATATTTAACAATTAATGAATGAGGCTGAGTATCTTATGAAGAATTATGGAGATCGAGGAGGCTGTTATTCAGCAAGGTCGTCCCCCTTGAAACACATGATTAATCAAAGTGGGTGGAAAAAAAATTTAATAAAAATTAAATGCGAAATGCTGGCTTGACCGTTCTTTGTGTCATCAAGCAACGCTCCTAGTGTCATTCGCCACTTAAGAAGCGCGAAGGAAACTGGGACGAGTTAACATTCACAAAGACTAACGGTATCGCTACTGGGGACACGCCAGTCAGCTATTGGCCAATTTTACTGCTGTCCAGTAAAATGTTTCGCCAAGACTTCTGGGACTATCACTAGGGACAGGACTAGTCCCAGTTTTCTACTCGTTTCTAAAGTGACGAATTTGACCTCCCCATCTGGAGAAGCGTTACGTGACCTCAAAGAGAGGTCGAGGACCACACAGAGGGGGAGACAAGTTTAACCGGTATTAGAAGCCTTAACTTTCTTTTGAAACACCTTTCTTCAGACCTGATCTTCTCTTGAGCTAGTAAAAGAAAAAAAACTTTGTAAAATTAAAAGTTATGCGAAGCTCAGGGTTTTGTTATGCGTCAGTTCTGATCACTTATTTATCATTTTATTTTAGATTCCAAATCACATTAATGACGAATGTCCGTTTACTTTAGTCTTCTGCCCATATGCTCAAATGGGGTGCAATCAACAGGTTTGTTCTTTATATTCTATGAGATTGTAAATTGAGCGGACTGAAATCCTTACGCATTGTACATGAGCAACGGTCTACCAAAAACTTTAATTCCTACATCATTTGTCTGTGTCATCAGGCGACGCCTTTCAGTTTTATCACCGGTGACTCTATTTGTCTCCTGACACTCAGACAATTACTAGGCAAACAGACCTATATTTTGCAAAGTGTATGAACACAAATAACAGTTTTGGTTTATAATACCATTTTCTAAGATTATTTGACTTCTTTCTACAGTTACAACGCGGAAACGTGGATTCGCATCTCGAGTCAGGCACGCGAAAGCATCTTGACTTGGCACGTGTTAAACTTAACAGCTCACAGGTTCAGCTGGTTGAACAACGAGTTCAGTTAGATGAGGCACGAGTTCAGTTAGATGAGACACGAGTTCAGTTAGATGAGACACGGGTTCAGTTAGATGAGACACGAGTCCAGTTAGATGAGACACAAGCTCAATTAAGTTCAACCCAGGCTCAGTTAAAAAATACACAAGAAACAACAAGAAAACTTGAGGGGAAAGTAGAGGCTCTTCAGACGCAGCTAGAAACAAAAGTGCAGATAAAGGGGCCGACAACAAACGGTTTATTTGGAAGATTGAAAATTTCAGTGAAATTTTGAAGCAAGCCAAGGCAGGATTTAAGGAAGAGGTAGTAAGTGATCCATTTTACACTGGATGTTATGGCTACAAATTACAAGTGATAGTGCGTCCTTTCACTAAGGGGCTGACCCAATTAGACGACTCTCTCTACTTTGGTATCGCTTCAGTGGAAGGTGAATACGATGACATATTACCCTGGCCTTTTAAAAAGAAAATAACGTTCACAGTGATTGATCAAAACGAAGATCTCAAAGAAAGGAAAAACATTACAGCAAATTTAAGGCCAAGTTCTAAAGCACCTATATTCTGTGAATGACCAACAGGACATTTATCGTTTGATAGTGATCGTATGTTTTTCATACCTCATGAAAGACTTCAAACAAGGCGCTACATTTTGAACGACAATTTGTTTCTTCAGGTCGATGTAGGACCTGATGACTGGATAATTTTTTAGTCCGTTCATACCTGTTTAGGCGAATCACGCAGACAGAGTTGATACTCAGTCCACAGGTCGAGAAACTAGAGGCTTTTTCTAAAGAAAGGGTAATTCACTTTTCACTCAGTTAAGTATACGTTTTCAATAAATGGCTCTTTCAAGTATTCTCTAGGAACTGCAGATGAAGTCATGAACTTGCACTAGATTTATTTTGTAGCACACTAGTTTTTTCTTGTATAGGAGCTTACCTTCTCAGCTAATCTTAAAAATAATTACAGTGGAACCCCCATTCATGGGATATCCTCGGAACCAAAGCAAGTGTCCCCTGAATGGAGACAAATAAAATATTTTTCCTTTTCTTCTAGCTTGCGTAGGAAACATTTTCGCATGAGCTTGTCTAGAAAGTTGGTTGTTGTCATTATCTCAAGGAGCTAGAAAATGTATAAAAATCATGATTAACTTACCTCCGTGATGTTGTTTACGTGAATTCCCACAAGTGCAATAAGTGAGACAGTTCGTGTTTTGCGGAAAGCAGTGTTGCCATTGTGTCTGGTGAGGCCTTAAACTTTTCAACGATTTTTGTGGTCAGTCTTCTTTTGAGTGCTATAAGGTGTCCGGGTTCCGGACTCAGAGAGATTGCCCCTTTTCCCTGAATAGAGGTGTCTCTTCAATATAGAGGTAACAAATACAAAGATTACGTGAACATTTTTCCGGGACCAAATTTTGTGTCCTCTGAATGGAGGTGTCCCTTGAATAGAGGTGTCCCAAATGACAAGTTCCACTGTAAAGGAAAAACCTTTAGGAAGCAGTCAAAATTGTTCGTGTTGCGTAAGATGCACTTAGGATACACTTTAGACCCACCCAAGATTTTTTAGCATCATTCAAAACCCATATGGGAAGTACAAAGGATAAACAATCATAATCAGCATATCATTTTAGTTATTAGTAAATTATGATTCTGAAGCTTGATATATCTATTTGAAGTCTAAGTTTAATTAACATTGTTATGCATTCCTAAGTCTAGGATTACCCCTCTCATAAGCTCATCTCAGTGATACAGAGATCGGTGTTAAAAAGAGAATAACGCAAGCAATAAACACGTTGCATTCCATGTGAACAATTGTCTGTGCGCATGCGTCCATGGTCAGGTGCCCGGGATTAAGTGGATGATGGGTAACAACCCCTTTCTTTAGCCTATAATTTTTCTAATCCCACTTTCCAGTGTCCAAAATTCCACTTCCATCATCAGAAGTTAGAAAATCTCACTGATTAGAACCTCTGAAACCCAACTTGAGGATTGCCACAATGACGTACGTTTCCAGGAGCGGCAGTCTGTCCATGCTCAAGGATGGTGACTCCATCTGTGTCAAGATGGTATCTGTACATAAAGAAAGTGTTGAAGTGGTGGCACTTTTATGTTGCTGTTTAAGATATTTAAAAATACGAGAATGCCGGCCTTATCCTAGTGTTCCTGTCCTTGTTTGCGCCCCGGGGTTTGCACGCGAAAATAAAAAGACCTTTTTCAGTTTGCCTTTGTCATGTCTATTCGACCGTTCGATCCACCCACCCAACCACCCCCCACAAAGATTTCTTTAGTCTCTCTCGGTCAAGAGACTTGCGCTGGCGATTAAATTCTAGGTCACTTCGACATATAGTTTGACCTTAAGTGGTTTCGCTTTCGCAATAGCCTGCTGCTGGAGCATCTTTGCACCATGGTGGAAGCCACGCAACTTGCCGGAGTTACCTTTTTGTCTCCGTCGTTCTTTTCTTCCTTATCTTAATCGCATACAGCTTCTCAGAAGAGGAAAGATTTTCGTTGCCTCCACTTGTTTTGCTCAAAGCACAATAATCACGAAATCATTTTCGAAAGTACGAGTCTCTCATAGCGATGACACCAGATTTCTGGCAATTGTTGTGAAGATTTCTTCCACTTCAGGCGTTGTCAAGCCGTCAAGAACTCTGTCTGCTCGTTCTCTCCGTTATTCTTACTCGTAAACAAGTACTGCTAAATTTTTCTCGAGGTCTTCACTTGTTTAATCTGTAATAATCTGGCAAACATGAATAAAAACAAAGAAAACAAGTTCCTGTGACGTTATCCATGAGGTTGCCATGTGGGCAACGACCAATCAATTTTAAGTCGTCAAAAACTCTTTTTGTCTCGGTTTTTTCGTTTTTCCTCTCTGTAAACAGCTTCTAAACGTTTTTCGCAGCCTTCATTTGCCTAATCCGAATTAAGACCAAATAATGTCGCAAACCAGTGTTGGATCTAGGAGAGGGGCCCGGGGAGCCACCTCCCCCTTATTTTTCGACCAAAATGAGGCCCAAAGGGGCGAAAAAAAATTTTGAGACCGGCCCCCAACTTATCTCAGACTCTGGATGACCGGGCCTCCCGCTTAGTGAAGGTCTGGATCCGCCACTGCAAACATTTTCAAAACCGCGCGCCATTTTCAACAAAAAAACTGAAGAAACGCGTAACCCGTAACGTAACGTGTTTCCATATGACTGTACTCTAATAGATCAGGACAGATCTCAGCGAGCGTAATATTCGCCACATATTGTATAAACATAAGGAAAGTGCTAAATTAATGTATAAAAGTGCAATATTTCTGTTACTGTACGTAGGTAGTGGTTTAAGATATTTGAAAGATACGAAAATACCGGCCTTATCCTAGCAGTGTTCCTGTGCTTATTTGCGCGCGAAAATGGTTGGCTCTCCACTGATGTCCTCAACAAGCTTGATAATCTACCCACCCCACCACCCCTAAACGATTTCTTGAGTTTCTCTTGTGGCTGGAGGTTAAATTCGATTCGAGGTCACTTAAACAAGTAGATTGTGACCGGGGTTTCGCTTTCGCAATATCCTGCCAAAGCAGATTAGCACAACATGGCGGAAGCTCCACGCAACACGAAGTTACCTTCAGGTTTTGATGAGGAGTTTGTGTATGACGTTGAAGATGACTTTCTTTGCTTAATTTGTCAACTGCCGTTGAAGGAGCCTGTACTTACAAGATGTGGTCACAGATTTTGTAATGCATGCCTTGAGGAACATTTGAGAAGGTACGCGTTAGCGACTGAATTCTATTTAATGCTGAGTATAACTTTGATCCGAAAGCTTGCCACCCTCAAAGTAAAGTACGAACTCCGGCACTGCGTTCCAGTAAACACCCGGACGTCTCGTCAGCGAAGAACCGAAGTTCATTTACTGAGGCAGACGACACTCTTACCTTAGTAGATTTATTAGTCGAAGACAATGGCATTCAAGTCGTTCTAGCTAAATCTTTTCAATAGGGGACTTAATTGATACATTCGTGCCCTTTAGTGACCACTCTAGATATGTCATTGGCATAGTAATCAGTTACGCTTGTTTTCTATTTATCTACTTTTGTAATGACAAAATGTTTTTCTTTTCCTCTGTTTAGAGATGAGCAGCCATTGTTCGCTGTCATTGATCTGTTCAGGAATGCAGACAATCTGGTTTCACATGACAGCAATGGTTGCTCTTGCGTAACCTGGCCCTCTAGCCTGCGTGTAGACGTCTCCTTTTTTCTTGAAAACAAAGCGAAGACAAAGAAATAAAGATGTCTGCACGCGCGGTACTGATCTTCCTATAAACGGAACATAAACTTTATCAAATATTGAAAAAATGCATTACGCGCTACTGTGGATTTTAAAGATATGCTCAGAGAGCCTGTGCTAAATCGTTAAATATCAGTTATTCTATTTTGTGTCGAATAGGATAGAAACCTTGAAGTGTTAGTAGTCGACCTTGAAAGCTAAGCTTTACAAAATTTGTTAGTATCGATGTGATTGGAATTTATGCGCAAGCTTTAATGTATTTTAAAAGGGAACACTGGTCTTTGAACAAACGTTTAAACCATATTTGAAATTAATTGCTTTTAGACACATTTTACACTTTCAAACCACTAGCTCCTAACAAAGATGGTGTATGTACCGCTTTTCATCTGTTTATTTGTTTATTTATTCAGACAAGAAGCTCAGAACCAGCCTTACACTTGTTCCGCGGATAGGAAAGGCCTGGACCGAGACCGGGTAAATCACTTTCATCTCCCTTGTAACCTCTTTGTCTATTGCGTTTTGGTCTTGTCACTTTTTTTACTTAAAGCTTGAACGCAAAATGAAGCATACAGGGTTAAAAAAAAATGTGAAACGGGCTGTCACCAAGTGACAAAACACGATATCTTTTAAGCTTTTGGAGCAAGGCAGTCGCATCCACCCATTGACAAGTTTTTATTCACGAAAATGTGAGATTTATCTCAAATAATAATAACGGTCATCATCATCACCATCATCATCCTCATCATCATTGTTTTCATCATCACCATCAACATAAACGTTGGCTAAAGAATTATATAAAAAACCGTCCTTTAAGTCGAAGACAGTTCATAGAGGCACCTATTTACAGAGGATTTTTAAACCCCTCTTTGTTAACACGTTTTCCACAGTTCCCATGATCCTTTTCTATTACAACACTTAAAGATTCATATTGGATTGATCTTGAACACTTCGTTTAATTTTCTTTCTAATTGAACTGTAGGATATATTTCCTGACAACGCAACAGGAAGGAAAATTTTGTCAATGGTGATCAAATGCCCAAGTGACGGTTGTTCGTGGACTGGTGAGCTGAGAGACAAAGAGGTAAAAACTCAAAGCAAAAATCATATCTAAGGAGCGGTGGATAACTTGATCATTTCCAAGTTGAGTAGGCCCCAGTCTCTTTCAGTCACTTTGATACTGAATGAATCAAGTATTTTACTTGTGGCGTTACGTTGCTAAGCGTTCTGATGACTGAAAGTATGGAGGTCGGGTAAATAACAAATGTGGAGGGGTAAAAGCTCAGATTCGTAGAGTCAGTTTTGGCCTCTACAAGTCTCCCAGTCTGTTGCATAATCGTTATCAGAACAGATGATTCAGCTGAATTACAACAAGTCAAAAAAGACTTTTTCGTCACGCCCTCTGCAAAAATAGACCTTTTTAGCTTGTATGTTTTGTTTTCCCATTTCAGTCCAGGTGAAGATACCCCTCAGAACTGTTTCTTTCGAATGTTATCATATGATGCACAAGAGAGAATGAGCTGATTCATTCTTTCTTGGCATGCATTTATGAAAAAACATGATACATTCGGTTGTCAAAAGTGACACAGACTATTCTCAATTATTCGTTAACGAGCATCCTCATGAATGTTAGCTAATTTCTCAACTGGCATCGAAACTAAGACATTTGGTAGTTAGGCACTCAAGAAGAAAAATGAAAGAGATCTCTTTTTCTCTAGTGATCTTTCAATTCTCACATGTTGTTACTTTTTAAAACAGGCTCACCTGCAAGCTTGCCTGTTTAGAATTGTTACTTGCACCAACGAAAATTGCCAGGCGACCGTGAAAAGAAAAGACTTGGAACAACACGTTGCAAATACGTGCGAATGGAGGATCATAGAATGTGAATACTGTGAAGAACCACACCCAAAGAAGCACTTGCAGGTAAACCCTCCGCCACAGCTTTCAGCTGACGACATGAATACCTCTTTCGACTGATCTTGACTTAGCTCTGTGAGTGAAACTTTTTATTTGTCGCCGTAGCACCGTGGAAGTGGCCCATGGCTGCCGGCTTGAATCAAACCTCTCAGGCAGTTTATGGTATTTCATAAGAAGGAGAACAATGAGCAATATAGGTATCATTCTGTATTTCCATTTGTCTCACATTTCAGTTTTTTTAGGGTGCGTTCAATTGATCGTATTTCGGAATCATTCCGCAATAGATAGCTTTCATAGTGACGTCATCAAATTGTAAAGTCAAATAGCGAGATTTTAAGAATTCTTATTTACACTAGGTTGAAGATAAACAAAAAGTAAATCTTTCATTCCCGTAGCATGTTTCATTTTGAAAAGTACAGCAATTTGAACTTCCGAGTTTTCACAGTGCGTGACACCAAAATAGGAATGCTGTCTCGTTGAAAAAAAGTATGTCCTCTTGATTTTCAGCAGTATAACCATTCCAGTTATTAGAAGATATTTTTATGCGCACGTATGCTAGTTCTCGAGAGAAAAGAGGGAGCTTTTATAGAAAAAGTGAACTGCAGATGTTTTTGTTGATTTTCGGCGGCCATATTGGTGCACCAAAACTGTGCACCAATATGGCGTCTCCATACAAAGCTCTACAAAGGTGCGTGAAACGTTTCGGCAAATAACTCTGAAACTGTGGGCAACAAAGACCTGAGACTTGGACAAATTGTTTATATATTAGTCTTTTATAACATTTCATTTTCTTCACCTCTTCTACTGGACGGTTTCCAATTTATTTTTTTGTTGCGTGACAGTGAAAACGATCTATACAAAAAGTTTTGTCATAATTATCTTGTACCGTGATTTTTGGATTACGTACATATTACATACATCGGAATATTTCGATTCAAGCAGATTTCTAAATATTGCAATGCAATGAATGCCAAAACAAATGACTTCTAGAATTTATTCTTGGATTCATTCTTATTCCGAAATACAGTCAATCGGACACCCCCGTAGTTAGCTTTTGAATACAGTCACCCATGCTCAAAATGGCAACGATTACTCAGTAATAAGCATTTCGTCATTTTTAAAGACAAAAGAACAAACTGGTTAAGAAGCTTTGAATAGTGGCACAGTAGCTAACGCCCTGTAGCACTTTCATTGACTTTTTTCCAATGGGAATATGCAGTCCTCCGAGAAGCCGATTAGGAAACTTACAATAACTTAGGCAAAAATTTGGTTTGGGGTAGGGGGGAACTGAGTGTATTATGGGGAAGTGTAAAATAGAGACTTGGGTAGTGCACAAAAGGATTAGTTTTATAGTTATTTGTGTTTTTGCAGGATCACCTGGAAAGGTGCAGTAAGATTCCACTTGCTTGCCCTAACAGTTGTGGAGATTTCATTTCCAGAGAAATGGTACATGCATTTTATTGTAATTTAATTTAGTGACGTCATTGATGGTATCGCATAGTTTCATCCAGGCATAACTACTTGATTGTCTTGGCAGTTAATTTAGATCGATTTTCCCTTTAAATAGACAACAAATACCTCAAAGCGTACAAATAAACTAGTTATAGCTGTCGCTGAGTGCCAACGGACAACGATTTTACCTATACGCGTGCCGAGGTGAGTGCAATTCCGACTTTACACAGCAAATTTTGTCGAGATATTGAAGTTCGTGTTTTTGTCCGAAGTTGCGTAAATTGCGTAACATTTTGCGTAAAACTAAGCAAACTTAAAGTGCTCAAAAAATCATATTTAAGTCCGCGAATATTCAACGTCCAAACCTCTATTTGGTCTCTTTTTAAAGCTAAAAAAAATTTATGGTGTGCCAATGAAGCCTTCCGAATTATTTTGCTTCAAAGACGCAAATGATTTCGCTGCGTTTTTATTTTCCTTAGCGGCATGTAATAAAAAATTCCAGCGGGCAAATGCGACAGATATTGCATAGGATGGAAATGATCCACCCGACGATTGGTTGAAGACGGAATGAGCACGGGACTCACAAACACGCACACGGCTCGTGGATTCTCTGATCTGTATCACCTGTTCGTTCGAAAACAATGCATTTTCTGTCCCGCATTACGTCATGGTTGCCTTACATTACTCTATGTTACATCGATTCGAGATTTTTTCTGCCCCTGGAACAATCGCACACGGCTCTATTAGGCTGCCGCCTCGCAACCTCGCGTCTTCGCGAGGCTGCTCGTTGGCAATAAAACAAATTATATGTACACTACGGTGGAAACAAATCGATATGCTCGTAATCCTTAAAGCGTTGTGATTAACCGAAGCTGGTTAATGTTATACAAATATACAAGCTGAATATAGAAAATGTAAATTTCTTTCAGACCTTATAACCTCATCTGCGGGCAGTCCATCGGGTCCGGAGAAACTGCACGACCCGCAGTGTTTTTGAGGGCGGGCGGAAGGGACTTGAAAACGTTAGTTGTACAGTTTCTCCCGACGGACCCTTCTGGATTGCCCCCAGATCTCCGAAGATAAACTGGGTCCTTTAATTGAGTCAGTATATTGTCCTTTCTGCATTCCTATTAGCATCAAATTAAGATATGGGGAAGTCATCCCCGAGGAGCAGAGTTGTTGCAGGAGGCTAACGAAATAGGTGCCAATAAGACCGCAAGCAGAGGCGGGAGGGTGGGACGACTTCACCTGTTACGCTTAGTTGGCAAACGATAATATTTGCATAATCATTCAACCTTAAATAATGCTAGTGACGGCATTTGGAAGGCTACTAATGAAGCAAAAGAAAACGTTTTCCGTGTTTGCATAGCCTGATATAAACACGAGAGGTGTTGGGAGAATTCGAGACCGTTATGCAAACCTGAGGCGAAGTCGAAGGTTTCCATACCTGTCGAGAATTCTCCCAACTCCTCGAGTGTTTATATCAGGATATGCAAACACAGGAAAAACGTTTTCTCTTGCTTTTATAAAACAACTTCCCGAGAAAAAAAGTAAAATTGTCTTGTTTAGAGTAATGATTAAAAGACAAATTCTTACCAGTCGCGAAGTCTTGTACACGAAGCTTGTACGCGTAATCAGTCCTTGTATTGCAAAAAAGATGCTTTCCAAAATACGGGTTTTCCTCGCTTAAAACGTCAGCTCAAGCGAAAAAAAATTGACAAAGCATGTTTCTAAAGATCATCCAAGTTTCAGCCGACGAGGAAATGGGTAAATAAAGTAAACTTGTCGAGGTTTTCAACTCAAAACCTTTTTCAAATTCGCGCTTGCGTGATTGGCGCGCGAAAAGCAAAACATCTTGACGTCACAACCATGTCTACATACTCTCACGCAAACACGCCTCTCGGCCAATCAGAGCACGTGTACTATCTTAGTTATTTTATAAATATTTATGGTTGAATAGTTCGCTGATTTAATTTTATCCTTTTCTTTTAGATTCCAAATCACATTGATAACGACTGTTCTTTGTCCTTAGTCTCCTGCCCGTATGCTCAGATGGGATGCACTGCAAAGGTTTGTCCTTGATCATTTAATACAGTAATGAATTTAACAGAGATTTAATACATTGTAAATTGTACATGTTCAACAGCGATGCGCTAAAAATTCAACTCCGATCGTTTTTCTTTATTATCAGGTGACGCCTTTCAGTTCTTTCACCAGCGATTACATCTACACCCCTCCCCCCACCTTTGGCACTTGGACGATTTTTAGGCAAACGAACTTTTACACGCATAAGACTCCAACATTTCTTAATATAAGTAAAAGTTTGGGTAAATACACTATTTTTCTAAGATAATATGTCTTCTTTCTGCAGTTTCAGCGCAAAAACGTAGATTCACATCTTCGTTCATCCATTCAAGAGCATCTTGACTTTGCCTGTGTTAAACTTAACAGCACACAGGTTCAGTTGGATGTAACACAAGCTCAGTTAAGGTTAACCCAGGATCAGTTAAGAGGTACCCAAGAAACAACAAGAAATCTTGAGGAGAAATTAGGGGCACTTCAAAGGCAGATAGATATGAAAGCCATTACAGATAAAGATGGTGGCAACACACGTTTTATTTGGAAGATTAAATGGTCCAGTGAAAGTCTAAAGCAAGCAAAGGAGGCATGGACGAAAAGGATAGAAAGTGATCCATTCTACACTGGACGTTATGGCTACAAATTAAAAGTCTTTGCTTATCGTCACTTCACCGGATACCATTTACTACCTATAGAGCCGCATCTCTCGATCGGTATTGTTTTAATGGAAGGCGAATATGATGACATGTTACCCTGGCCTTTCAGCAAGAAAATAACGTTCACAATAATTGATCAAAATGAGGATCTCGAAAAAAGACAAAACCATGTTGATTATTTGAGGCCAAGTAAAAGGAAAGTTTCTTTAGAAGCGCCAGAAAAGTTATTCTCAGAAAGACCAGGAGGAAAGTTGAAGTTGGTAGTTGGAGGTGAGCTACCGTATTTTATATCTCATTGGAAACTTCTAACAAGGCGCTACATTGTAAATGACACTCTGTTTCTTCAGGTCGATGTGGGACCTAATGACTAGTGTTATCACGTTGTTCCGTTTCTTTTCAAGTGAATCATGAAATAATTTATTCACTCCACAGGTCAAGAAACTGGAGGCCTTTTCTTGAGGCCTTTTCTAAAGAAAAGGTTATTTGCGTTTTGGTAAACGCCCATTTTGAGCATACTGCTGAAATGAGAACTTATTTTACATGAACTGCTTAAAGGCTTAATTTGTAATCATTTCTTGTAAATAAGCTCTGCCAATCTAGAAAATACGGAAAGTCCAACCTGTATTATATTTTGTTTTAAAAGTGCTCACTTGCCCTTATAATAACTGTAAACTGACCTGTATTCAGTGGTAGCGATTACTTTTTTCATTTTCCTCATTGATATTAATGATGTACCATATTGATACACTAGTTACATTCTGTGCGTGGTGTTTTATGGTCTTTTCTTTCTTTTCCTTTTGAGCAAAAGAAGAAGAAAACGCTTAAGTTGATCGAATCCGTATAAAACTGTCAACCCGTTTTCAGCGGTCATTTTGACCAATCAACATACTTCTCCCTAATTATCTCCTCACTTGTGATAAAGATTAATAGGATGAGTATCAAAAAGAAGATCTCTTTCATTTCACTACGTATACACCATCATCATAATAGAAGATTAACAGTTTCTTTTCCGTTAACCCAGTTACAAATACCTATCCTACACTCGCGTTTGAGGTTATTTCCGAAGAATTAGCCTAAATAGTTTTATCTCCTATGACGGGAAAACCTCCTCCCGCGCTAGCTTCCTCACGAATAAGCAGGTTCCTGCGAATAAGACCCATTCCTTTTACCGAAAGTTCGAACAAACATATGGACGGTGTAATCTGTCAGGATCACGCATCATCTGTATAAGATTATTACTTGTGCAGTCACACCCGGAATGGACAGAATGGCCGCAGCTAGCTAGAAATCAAAGCTAAATTTACTTTACAAGAGCACAACAGGCACAAAACTATACCTTTACCCTCCACAGGCGCGGATTCGGGAATTTGATAACTCTCATCCTTTCTCGCGGAATTGCAGGCAAAATTTGAATACGCAGGTGATTAAGTAACATAATTCATGATCAGGGCTTATAACACGTTTGACGCCTTCACTTGTAAACCACGAACTGAATCATATCAGTGTTGCATGCCATCATTTTGTTAGAAATTTTAGTTTCAAAGCACTTTGTCTATGAGTAAAGAGATACAATCTGTAACTTAATGACGACTAAAGGGTTGTTCGGAATCCCTAGTACCACCCCCCTTGATCCGCCTTTGCTCTACCACTTTTCATTACAACCGTTGTTCCAGCAATTCTTTATAATTATAGAAAAACAAGTAAATAAAAAAGGTCTGTTGAAGTCGTAAAAATGGGCCCGTTTCGGTGCGGTAAAATACTGTCGTTCTTTTTTTGGGTAATATGTTTTGGCTCCCCTAATCAGGGCTGCCAGACCACTGCAACTCTTTCATAATTCATTTTCCGATTACAGTGGCTTTTTTCTTTTCAAATTCGCTATGTACAAACTCTTTAACAGTCAAACCCAAATTTAAGGACACCCGCTTAATATAGACACCTCATTATTACGGACAGTTTTCTTTGTCTCTGGGGAAAGAAAGCCCTTAAATTTTCTCTAAATTCAACCTGCTTAATACGCACACCCTGTTACAGACGAACTCCACTTTACGAACACCCGCTTAATACGGACACCTCATTATTACGGACAGTTTGCTTTGTCCCTGGGGAAAGAAAGCCCTTAAATTTTCGCTAAATTCAATCCGCTTAATACGCACACCCTGTTACAGACGAACTCCACTTCACGAACACCCGCTTAATACGGACACCTCATTATTACGGACAGTTTTCCTTTGTCCCTGGGGAAAGAAAGCCCTTACATTTTCCCTAAATTCAACCCACTTAATACGGACACTTTCTATGGACCCTCAGTGCCCGTATTGACGGACGGAGTTTGACTGTAATTCTTTACAAGCTAGATAATCTGCTCTCAAAATAGTTGAAGAAGCAATACTCATTGTAATAAACAGTGCTCAGGAAAGACAGGAATAAACCCTAAAGGATTTTCTATTACATTTTTATCCAGTAAAATACTGACTTTTATCGATTTAGTCTGCGTAGCAAGCGTTTCCGTGCTGTTTCGGAGCAAAGAAAGACCAAGGAACGAGATTCGCGGTTTTGGCCGCGCGAGAAATGAAACGAGAGCCACCCGCTTACTCGCGCCATTCTTCCCGCGGTCTTTGTTGGGCGGTCTTTGACTCTCGAAATAGCACGGAAACGCTTGCTACGCAAGCTTTTATCGATTAGAAGATCACTCGTTGCAAAATTGATGGGAAAAACGTAGACACGAAAGAAAACAACAAAATACAAAAATTAAACGATTGAGGAGACGAGGTTCTTTGGGCTGTTGTTCGTACAAAAAATACATCGTTAAACTAAATTCTTAAAAATTGCCTTTCCAGCGGCTCAACAATTGCAACCTTGATAAAAATAGTATTATCCTTGATAAAGCTGCGAGAATACAACTCCTTGTGAAACACAAACTCTCACACGCCACAGGCAGGTTCCGACGATTGACTTGGTCTTGCTAATCCTTCAGCGTTAAGCTGTAGTTCTTGCCTCAAATGTCTTCTCTTCTCAACCAAATAATATTGATCAAGCAAGGTAAACATCACCGAGTCTTGAAATGGCCATAAAAGAAGTCCGTCATACTCTCCGACCAGAACCCTGAGGTAGATTGACATAAAATTCCCTTTTTCCTGATCAAGGGTGTCATTGGTATGGTAACCATCAGGGTACAATTCCAACACAAATTTGTAACCGTTACGAGATGAATAGAACGGTTCACTAACTATCACCCTTTGTTCGTTTCTTTGAGCAGCCGCCATGACCGATGAAAAGTTTGATATTTTCCAGATAAAGGGGCAATTCTGTAAGCGTTCCAACTTTTCTTCAAGAAACGATATCTTCTGAGCCTGTTCTTGAATTGTCTCGGTCAAGGTAGCAACTCCTTTGCAGGCCAAGTGAAGATGAGTGTCTTTCACGGCATCAAGATGAACTTGCATATCACGCCTTTGAAACTAATGAAATAAAACGTCATCATATACTATATCAATTTGCTGTTTATGCCAGTTATAGTGTTTTGTTATGTTATCCTCACTGCTCACCACATATACAGTAACCCTTTAACATTCATATAACGAGGACATCAGAAGTCTTGACATCAGAATGCACAGTTCAATTAGCGATTATTATCAAGCAAGTGTGACTATATCTACGTTAATAGGGTAGCTGCACATAAAGAAAGTGGTGACGTGGTGGTACTTTGGCCTTTTTGTGTTGCTGTTACAGCGGCCTTTTAAGCTAATTCCCTTGAAAAGGATGTACTACCCAGATTTTTTTCAAACTTGATCCAATTGTCAGCCGTATATAGGACATTCAAAAACTGCAATAAAACGATGGGATCACCTTGTTATTTTCGCCCTGTGTGCCCGTGAGTGTTGTTTCCTAGTTGCGCGCTAAGTATTCGAAAGTTCAACAACCGTCAAAATTGCTACCCTGTTATTCATATAGCAAATAAAATGAATCTTACCAAAACATAAAACCTGTTTGTTTGTCTGGGCTATAATTTTTCAGTAAGATGACTTCAAATTATTCGATTTGAAAAACTGAAGAGAAATGGACAGTTTGAACATTATCTCCTTTTTCTCTATGGCTCTAATGTGTAGTTTCACGTCATTCTTATCTAAAAATTTACAACTTCCACTATCCAGATTTTTTCTCTTCAAGATATACTTTTTGTGTGGCTCTAACGAGTAAACAACACGAATTAAAAAAGGGGGCACCGTCCTCGTTTCATCGCAAAAAGACAACAAAGGAACAATTTTGGCTTCAAATGATCATTTTGCGCGAAGGGACTGGGGCCAGTTTCAAGAAAAACACCTTTTAAACCGTGTAGAGATATTAAAACCCTTTTGACCACAAAAAGGGCCTTCGTGCGATAAAAATCGTCGCTACCTTTGAGGTCACAATGTTATGCGCAGTAGGCGATGGGCAGTGCAAAACATAGGAATTTTAAGATATTTGAAAGATAGGAGAATCTGGTTTGGTCCTGGTGTTTCTGTGCTTGTTTAAGCAAGAAATTAGACTTTCTCACGGTTTATCCATTCGACCGTTCGATGTAGCAGCCCTCTACCCCTAAAACATTTTTTATGGTCTCTCTCGGTTGAGAGATTCACAGCTGCCTATTAAATGCGAGATCATCTGCGTATGAAATTAGTTTCGCAAAATGGCCGAAGCGCCACCTAGCATGCAGTTACCATCAGGTTATGACGAGGACTTTGTGTTTGAAGTTGAAGATGATTGTCTCTGCTTAATTTGTCATCTGCCGTTGAAGGAGCCAGCTCTTACAAGATGCGGTCACAGATTTTGCAAAGTATGCCTCGAGGAACATTTGAAAAGGTACGCCTTTCTGACTTAATTCTATTGAATGTTGAGCGTTGGAGTAACTTTGATCTTTTGATAAGTGGAGTACGAGTTCCAGCACTGTGTTCCTGTCAACATCTCAATTTTACGCAGGTTACGGACATTTCGTTAACGAACAAAGACGGACTTCATTTTTTGACTCAGACGGCAGTCGCCCCAATTTAGTCGATTTAATAGTTGAAGGCCATGTCATTCAAAATGAGGAGAAATAAAGCTAAAAGATCTGTTAATATCGATAGATTCGTGCACTTTAGTAAGCACTTTATTGGTACAGTAGTCAGGTAAACTTGTTTCCTATTTATCAACTTTTGTAATGAGAAAAGTGTTTTTCCTTCCTCTGTTTGGAGATAAAGTAGCCATTGTACCGTGTTACTCATCTGTTCAAGAAATGCAGACAATCTGGTTACAAGTGACCCATGCATGGCAATAAATCATGTTTGCTCTAGCTTAACCTGGCCTTCCTAAAAGAGCATAGCAGTTTATAAAATTTCTAACATAGATCACACGCTTCTGTGGATCTATGCTCGAAAGGCCTGTGCTTAGTCGTTAAAAATTAGCCATTAGTAGTCGCCAGAAAAAAAATTTATATCATGGCGGATGTAGTTGGTTGCACGATTCCGGCTATTATGTGTCGAATAGGACAGAAACTTTGAGTTGTTCACAGCTAAGCTTTACAACTTGCAAACGTAACCTTATGCGTAATTAACGGTTACTTTGCACATTTTTTTGTGTGTCGATGTGATTGGCCTTTTATACGTATGTTTCAATGCTTTTAAACGGGAACACTTCACTGACTGGAACAAAACTTGAGTTTAACTAAATCTGAAATTAATTTCTTTAATTTAGACAAATTAGTTAACACTTTTTTAAAAACACGCTTGCTTCTAACAGACTGGTATTGACCCCCCTCAGTTTTGATACGTAATTTGCATCTTTATTTTTTCGTCTATTTATTTGTATATTTATTCATTTACACATTTAAATTATTGCCTCTCACACCGAAAAACAGACAAGAAGCTCAGAACCAGCCTTACACTTGTCCTGCAGATAGGGAAGGCCTGGACCGAGACCGGGTAAATAACTTTCATTTACCTTGTAACCTCTGTGTCTATTGCGTTTTGGTCTCGTCTATTTTTTTACTTAAAGCTTGCATGCAAAATGAAACATACAAGGTAAAACTGCGAACAAACTATTTATTAGAACAAGACAGTCGCAGACACGCATTAACATTTGTTTCCATTGAGGACAATGTGAGATTAATTTCACAAGTATTTCAGCAATTCGAAGCAAGGCCATTCTCGTCCCCAGAGCCCGTCGTTTCTTGATCACGTGGTCTTGAAACGAGGTGTTCGTTACAAATTAAGCCGAGTGGCTCTGGGGAAGAGAATGAAGCAAGGCCACTTTCGAATAATAGTAATAGAATAATAATAATCATCATCATCACCACGATATTCATAATAAAGATCTTACGTTCTAATCAAACGTTAAAGCTTACAATGTACTAAAGAAATATGAAAAAAAATGTCCTTTGAGTCAAAGAGGCATCTATTAATTCTGACATCAAGAGAGTATTTTTTAAATTTCTCCGTGTTAACACGTGTTCCACAGATTCCCATGATCCCTTTCTATTACAACAGTTAAAGATTCATATTCGATTGATCTTGAACACTTCGTTTAATTTTGTTTCTTGTTGTTCTTTAGGATGTATTTCCTGACAATGCAACGGGAAGGAAAATTTTGTCAATGGTGATCAAATGTCCAAGTGACGGTTGTTCATGGACTGGTGAGCTGAGGAACAAAGAGGTAAAAAATCAAGAGCATCAATTATATCCCAGGCACCGGGTTGATTCAGTTCGTGTTAAACATGATCATTTCCAAATTGAGTAGACCCCAGTCTCTTTCACCAGCTTTTAAAACTTACTAAATCAAGTATTTTACTTTTTAATACAGCCCTACGTTTACATGTGCTACGCGTGTATTATGCAACGTGTGGAGGGGTGAAAAGGAAATGTGGAGAGGTCAAACGCCAGATTCGCACAGCCGGTTTGTAACTGGAATGCGCGTGCAAGTCGACTTTTCTGCGCCTGAATTGTTTAGATTTCAGGACAAATGTACACCACAACCTAGACCGGAATCCGGGAAATTTTTGCTGGTAAAATTGGAATCCGGAAAACAACTCAAGGAATCGGGAATCCCACTAAAGCTTGAAATCCAGAATCCAAGTTCCACTTACAATGACTGTAATTCAGTACATGGAGGCTCAGTACTGTTTTGAATTCCCTTACATGGCGCGAGGGCTGCCTTTAGGCCTTCAAAAGAATTCCCTTGGTATTGCAGACAAACACTCTCCGTTAAGTTTTGCACTAGTGTTGTGCAAATAGGTAAAGTAAACTTCTTTATGTTGTTATTCAAGCAGAGGGACTACAACCATGCAGTATACCAGAAACCATGCAAGCAATGACCACTACACAACCGCGACCCCAATTATATCGTACCCTACACGCTTTCCTCTCTTAATTCTTCAAAATGTGTATTATTTCAAACAGGCTCACCTGGAGGCTTGCCCGTTCAAAATTGTTACTTGTACCAACGAAAATTGCCATGTGACTATAAAGCGGAAAGATCTTGAACAACACGTGACAAACACTTGCGACTGGAAGATCCTAAAATGTGAATACTGCAAAGAACCACATCCAGAGAGGTGCTTGAAGGTAAAAAGAATTGAAAATAACAAAACTACGCTTTCAACTACATCACGTATTTTAAACGAAGCTTCCTTTTGCCGTAGTTTTTACAGCTGATGACGAGTGAGACGCCTCTTTCGTTTGATCTTGACTTAGCTCAGTTTTGAGCTGATATTAGCCTTTCACCGGCTTGTCCGCAGGTAGCGCTGTTTACTACCTCAAACGTGGCTTCACTGCAGTCAAATGCCCCAGGCAGTGTTTTTTCTTTTAGTTAAAAACGTTTCTTAAGTTAAGATCTTCCGTTGGGTCAGACGTCGAATAACTTAGGACCAGTCGAACCAATCAACTGAATCAGATCAATAATTAAAAATTATTGGATGAGGTTTCGCAAAATATAATGATGTGCGATACACTGAAAAATCACGATATTTTGCGATAACCGAGTGTCATAATTCTTTTATTACTCGATCACAAAGGTTGTTTTTCAATTATTTGCGAAGCGATCTGCCAATTTCAAGCAGGAGCGATCGCAAGAAGGAGGAAAACGTGGTTTCACTTACGCATGAGCAGAATATCATTTGTAGCCTAACACAGTTGGAGGTCGTTGCGCGTGAGCAGACTATTATTTAAAGGCAGTCATTTACAGGTAACGTTGTGGGCTCTCGGCCAATAAAAAGGAAGAAAACTCTGTATCGAATGATAATACGGTTTATACAAAATTTGGCCCGAGAGCGGTCTGTGGGAGTAACAGACTGTATTACTATGGGGGATTGGAAAACAAAGAATTGAGAACTACAAGAGTTTCACGGCCTGAAAAAAAATGACGTTTTTCAACCCAAGTGCAAAAGGATAAATTAGGTATTTGTCTTTTTGCAGGATCACTCGGAGAGCTGCAGCAAGTTTCCACTTCCTTGCCCTAACGACTGCGGGGATTCAGTTCTCAGAGAAATGGTAATTGCATTTCATTTTAGTATGGGTGACTTCACTGATGGTAGAGTAAAGTATCTTCGCACTATACAGCTACGGTTACTCTTCATGTTTGAAAAAAAAAAATTAAATTTATCTCCAGTCTTCTATGAGACAACAAAAGCGTCTTGACGTATACTTACTTACATCTTACTTCCGGTCGACGCCTAAAAAACGACGAGAAGAAAACTAACCCTATAGGGCTCGATCTCTCATACAACTTTTCAGATCTTGAACGTTCTAAAGACCAGTATCCCCAGCAGTGTGTTTAGGTATGTAGCTGTCGTACTTCCTCTTGCATTCCTTCCATGTGCAGGCACCCATGTTATCAGCCGTTGCACTGGAGAGCTCTCATCGCGAAAAACATTCTCCAGAAAGAGCGATTCTTCTATTTTGAAAGGTAGAGGTCACCTCTTTTCACCTCTTCACCGCTTTTCTGACTACCTTAAAGCTCGCTGTTTTTAACCTTGTCCTTCCATGATATGTTTTTCACCATTTGCAGCATTCTTAAATACGAATCACACGTGAACAACGGAAAGAAGTCTTAGTCCTTTATCAAGTGCTATACTAACCTGATCGAGCATATAGAAAATGTAGGATTGACCGTGACTATGACCTTTACTTTGAACTCAGACTTGATCGACCTTTTCAAAACTGCTGACTTGATAAAAAGCACTATCATGATGAAAGTTATGCTAAGCACTGGGTCGTGCAACATGCAGTCTCACCAATTATCAAAATTCATACTTGGGTCCAAGGCTTCGGGGTTGAGTCTGGGGGATCAATAATTCATTTCTTTTGTTCTATTCCCCTCAGCCTCAAGGCCAAGTATGAATTTTATCCTTTTAACAATTCGAAACTGGCCAATTGAAACGGTTCGCTTATTTGATTTTATCATTTTCTTTTAGATTCCAAATCACATTGGTAGCGTCTGTCCTTTGTCTTTAGTGTCCTGCCCGTACGAAGAAATGGGATGTATTGAGAAGGTTTGTTCTTAATCAAATTAATTCTTAATTTTAGAGGATTGAAAACATAATACAGTAAACACCATCTTGTATGCGGGTGTTTACTGTACGTTGGACATGAGTCAGGGGCACCCAACGAGAATATAGTTCAAAACCACTTAAACATAGCATTATTAAACGTATTTTTACTTTTTTTTCGTCCTGGCACTAACACAATTACTAAGCAAACAAAATTTCATAAGGCATAGAGTTGTAAATAGTTTACACTTTTTGATGAATTTACTATACTAAGCTCTAAGATCATTTGTCTTCCTTCAACAGTTTCGGCGCAAAAACGTGGATTCACATCTTCAATCTGCCATGCGAGAGCATCTTGACTTAGCATGTGTTAAACTTAACAACACACAGGTTCAGTTAAGAAATACCCAAGAAACAACAAGGAAACTTGAGGAGAAATTTGAAGCTCTTCAGAGGCAACTAGCAAAGAAAGTGGATACTGATAAAGAGGGTGGTAACAAACGGTTTATTTGGAAGGTCAATCCGGATCCTCTGCTTCAGGGAGGAAGAAATAGAATGCTAGCAAAGGAAAGTGATGCATTCTACACTGGATGTTATGGCTACAAATTAAAAGTGGGACTCTCTCTTGATTATCGTCGTGGACCTTTAAGTGACTGGACTTTCAAGATTGTCGTCGTTTTGGTGGAAGGTGAATACGATGACATATTACCCTGGCCTTTTAGCAAGAAAATAACGGTCACACTGATTGATAAAAACGAGGATCTCAAAGAAAGGAAAAACATTACAAAATATTTAAGCCCAAATGGACATGTGCAGGGAGATATATTCTCCGGAAGACCCAGTCAGTATTTGAGGCTACGCGATGAGATGTTGCGTTTCTCATCTTACGGAGAACTTCAAACAAGGCGCTACTTTGCAAATGAGACTCTGTGTTTTCAGGTCGATGTAGAACCTGATGACTAGTTATCACCTTATTCCGCGGTTCCTTTTCAAGCTAGTGAATCCACAGGTCTAGAAATTATAGGCCTTTTTTTTTGGAAGAAAGGGTTATTCACACTGCACCGACACCGAGTTACTAAATTGCTCTTTTGAGTTTTGAAGCTACGTCTTTTACCCTTGAGTACTCTCCACAGTCCAAAGTTTAAGAAATTGGAGGCCTTTTTTAGGGTTATTCACGTTTACCTCGGTTAGTATTCTCCGCTTACTGCTGATGAGAAGAAGTCATCAACTGACTCTGAACTGATTTAAAGCTAACTTTGCACTGATCGTTTTCTCTTGAATATGCGCCCACCCTCTCAGCCAGTCTAAAAAATATGTAATACAAAACCTGACAGTGTATTAAACGGTCAACTACTGTTAACTTTATATAAGCGGGTACTCTAATAAACCGTCTATTTTTAAGTTATTTCGTATTAGTGCACTGATTATATTGTGTGCGGCGCTTAAAATAGCCTGCGTAGCAAGCGTTTCCGCGCGAGTTCATCGAGAAAGTTGGGACGAGAGCAAAAAAAATTTTTTTCTTGCTTCCGCTCTAACTTTGGCGCAATAACTCGATTGGAAACGCTTACTGTGCAGGCTACGCTTAAAATGGCCTTTTTTTCTTTACGTTTTGAACAAAAAGAGTATAACAGAGAACTTAGGTTGGACGAACCTGTACTGAACGGTCAACTTGTTTTTAGGTTGGTTTGACTGGACCCCTCTTTTCCAATTGTCCTCTAATATTTGGTAAATAGGATGAATGTTGAAACGAAAATCTCTTTTACTTCACTACACCATCAATATAAGAGAACAGTCTCTTCTTTTTAAGTCAGTTACAGATAGTATTACCTACATTCGTTTGAGGTTATTTCAGTACGAAGAATTGGCAAAAAAATAGCTTCATCTCGTTGATAACTAAGGATTAATTTTGTTGAGGCCATGTCTATCAACTTTAATTTAGTAAGTTTAAATATAGGAGAAAGAAAAGCTGATACAGTCGTGCTCTTTACTGACCAGTTCAGTTAAGCTTGTTTTCTATTGATCAACTTTTGAAATGACTAGATGGTTTTTCCTCTGTTGGAGACGGATAAGTAGCCATTTTTCGATGTCATTGATCAGTTCAGGAATGCGGACAATCCGGTTTCACGTCATTGATCTATGTATGGCAATCAATGATGGTTGCTATTGCGTACTAACCTGTAGCCTTCCAGAGCATAATAGTTCACAGTATAATTAGTTTTTAGTCTTAAACATAGAGAGGTCTTATCTCTAATTCAGTGCTACAAGATAGTTTTTGGAATAGACAGCTTTCCTTTTTCGGACTTTTTTGAACTATAGCCAATCACGATTGTAAGCTCTATGTAAAGTCGCCATCATAAATTGCTACAAATATTCTTCCTTTGTACGGATCGTTAATGCGTGGAATAACTTGCCTAAAGATGTTGTACACGCAGGATCGCTGACTTTATTTCCAACAGATAAGGATTTATCTGAATATTCGGATTGATACTAGAGATTTTAAATGGTTTTAATTGTGATATGCAAACGATGTTTTTTATTCTAGTTTAAAGGTTTTAGATTTTTCAATCTGTGTATAATGTTTTAGATTCTAGATTTTATCATTTCATCTTTTATTTTGGGGAATCTTTTATTTAGGGTTGACCTCTTGATATCCCCTTTCGAGAGATATTTTGTGACTTTAGTTTTTATCTCTTGAATGAAGTATTGTATTATATTGTATTGTATTAATTTGTCAAATGAATTTACGCCTTTCTGCGAATTCTGTACTCGGAAAGCCTTCGCTAAATCGTTGAAAATCTGCTATAAGCCGTAGAAAGAAGTATTGTAGCGGACGAAAATAGCTAAATGATTTTATTTCGAGTTTCACTACTAGTCGAATAGGACCTCAGCTGTAGAACAGAAAGGACCGTTAAGCTTCCCAAGTGGCGAATCCCTAGCGAACCTTATGCGTAGTTTACGAAAATTTTTTATTAATTTTTCAGATACAATGTGATTGGCCTAAAGTTACACTTTGAACATATTTCCTAACACAGACTGTGTATTGACAGCGCTTAACCAATTTTTTTACAAGTAATTTGCATGTTAATTTTTCATCTATTGAGTTATATTTTTATTAATCTATTTATTGATTTATTATTATTACTTCTTAAACTAAAAAACAGACAAGAAGTTCAGAACCAGCCTTGCACCTGCCCAGCAGATAGGGAAGGCCTGAACCGAGACCAGCCGGTAAGTGACTATCATTTGACTTTAAGTGCGTGATGTTTTTTTTTGGCCTTATTTATCATTAAAGCTAACATGCAAATGACACTAACAAGGTGAAATAATCGAAGCGAGTTGCCACTAAATGAAAAAAAAAAAAACAACAATTGTTCAAAATATTTGCCATTCAGGAAATTGTGACATTAATCATCATCATCATCATCATCCCTTTTACTTAAACATGACAAGATTGGGGTGATGTAAGAAAAATTACAACATAGGGAGATAATACGAATAAGGATAAAATTACATACAATATAAAACTACAATAAAAAACTCTTAAAAGATACAATATGGATAAGATTTAAAATGAATTTACAATATTAGCTATCAACCACCTAAGGGTAATTTGCTACAGCTTTTAAAAATAGAATAGTTAAAAACATTTAAAATCACGATATATAGTGCCCGCCTAGGCAACGACTGGACAGACTGTGTGCTAAAGTCAAGTTCCTATATATAATATCTGTCTGATTTCGTTAAAACGTGGCCACTAGGTTTTTGCCTGGCGACCGGCGCAGCCCGGCTTCAGGCCAGTCCGGTGTCCAGAAAAGTAAGGAACTGCCCTAACAGTAGGTGGGTGGATCAGGCCTTTGGGTCAAAACTAGTGGGGTAGGGAGGGGGCTGTTTGACACAAACCCTTCAGTAAGCAACAGTGTTCAGTGCAGGCTTTGACTGGCGAGTTCCTTGGTCTTAATTTGCCGTAGCCAGCTGAATCAGACCTCTGCTGAGAATGAGTATCATGATAATTGCAGAGCTCAGTGGGAGGTGCAGACAGTCACCCATTGTCCCGAGTGGGAAGGGTCAAAGTCTTGGTACCAAGGACACACTTAGCATAGGACCTTTAGACACTCAGTGACGCCATGTTTTCATAAATCCAGACAAATAGAAGTCGCTCTTAATTTCAGAAAACGGTCCTTTAATTCGAAGACGTGTTTCATAATTTCATTTCCCATTCTTTTGCAATCTGCCGCTAAATCTGTATTGCATGCTTTATGTACCCAACTCTGAAAGCTTTTTTCAGCAGCCCCTCAACGTAACTTGCTGGGTATTTGACGAGAAGTCAAGACCACTTTCAGGACATGCAGTGTGTTAACACAGGTGTATATAGATCAAGAGGATATTCTCAGCCTCAAAACCAGAAAGGACAGAAAGTGATGTTGCCCAGGGCCAGCAGAAGCCGGAAACGGTTCTTTGGGTCTACGTAACAACTACTGTAATAAAAGAATTCTATGAATCCTATTCTTATTTGATTGATCTTGAGCACTTCGTTTAACTGATTTTGTTCCTTGTTGTTCTATAGGATGTATTTCCTGACAAGGCAACAGCGAGGAAAATTTTGTCAATGGAGATCAAATGTCCAAGTGACGGTTGTTCGTGGACTG